CTATAGGGATGTGAATGTATTCTTGTGGTTCTTTATGTTTCTATTGTTTTTTTTTTCCTGTCTCTGCTTTAATGTTACACTCTCCTAATTTATATGACTTTAATATATCTCTTGAAATCTGTTAGCAAAGACAGATTCTTGTTGCCTTGTTCTACTTTAGCAATGCCTTGGATACTGGTAGGTCTTTGTTCTTCTTTTATGCTCTAGAGTAAGTTTGTCAAGTTTTGTAAATAACTCCATCATGATTTTTATAGGAATTGCATTGGATTAATAGATTACCATGTAAAAACATAATCCTTATGATAGTCATTTAATCCAAGGACATAATCTATCTCTCCCTTTGTTTTGGGTCTCTTAAATGTTAATCAATAAAGCTTAGCTGTTTTTTTTTTTTAATAGTAGTAATGCACTTTTTAGATTTCTTCCTAAGTACCTTATAAACAGCATCGTTTGGTTAGTTACATTTTCTAGTTTGCTTAGTTCATTCTTTAACTGGCATAGAGAAGTGCAATTGATTTTTGTCCATCGATCTGTATATCAGATTGGGTTAAATTATTCTGCAGTAATAAAGAAGACCAAAATTTCAAAAAATTTCCTTTAAACAATAAAAGTTTATTTCTCACACATGCTACATGTCCAACAGGGTCGGCAGGGGGGACTCTGATCTATGTCTTCCCAGCTAGGGAAAGAGGCCGACAGAGCAGCACCATCTGGACGTGGCAGAGTGAAAGAGAGAGTGAGCAAACATAGTAAATTGCACACTGGTACTTGTAGCTTTGCCCCGGTAATGGCACATGTCACTGCTCATATTTCATTAGCTAAAGCATGTCACGTGACCACCTCTAACTTGACAAGGGGTCAAGTAGTATGTGCCTAAAAAAAAAGAGAGCCCCAGAAACTGAGGAACAGCATGGGTTTTATGTACATCTTCTCTCCAGATCTTAGGTCAAATACTTGTCTTCAGATTGTGTTATCTAGAGAGAGAGATCACATTTGATAATCACTTTAGTACTAACCTCCGTATTCATTTTCCTTATTTCAATGCTCTGGCTAGTGAAATATTGAATAGAGGTAGTGACGGTGTGTGTCCTTGTTCTACTCCTGATTTTACAAAAGTGCCAAATCTATGTCAAGTTATGTTTTTAGTTTGTTGAAGGCTTTCATTCTAAATAAGTAGTTTTTGGTTCTAAATTAATAATCTTTTCTTAAGGATTTTGGTCCCGAATAAATCACAAGAATTTTTAATATATTTTTATGGTGAATTATATTAATATGCATTTAAGTTCAAGTAAATTTTGTAATTCTGAAATAAGCCCAACTTTTTCAGGAGCTTTAATCTTTTAATCTTTTTGTACATTTATGAATTCAATTTGCTTATGTTTTATTCAGAATTCTTTTTTGAGTTTATTTACCTTAGAATGACCTATAATTTTTCTTTTTTATATTCTTCTGTTTTTCCTTTAATATGTGTATCAAAGTTATACTAGCCTCATAAAGTAAATTGGGAAATATTTTCTTTTATTCCATTTGGAAGAGTATAAAAATTAGAATTAGTTTAACTAATTTGGGCTGTTTCTAGTTGTCTTCTCGAATTAACTTAGGTTGGAAATGTTTTTAGAAATTTGTCTAATTTTCCTAAGAATTCAAGTACAGTTCTCATAAAATTATCTACAGTATTTTTTATACTTATAATCAGGTTATACCTAGTTTATACCTGTATTTTCATACCCATTATTATAATACCTCTGTTATTTTTCCTTGATCAGTTATGCTAGAAGTTTAACAATTTTAATAGCAATTCCCTGGGTGCTAAAAACCCATAGGAATAGGAAATACAACTTGATTTTGCCCATTAAAACTTACTCTCAAGTGCTTGAAAAACTAAGCTTATTACAATAAGTTTTTCCAAAATGAGCATGAACTTGCTTAGAATTGTCTAATTAAAACCCCATTTTCTTGACTTATTCAGAACAAGGAACTAAGGATTCAATGTGACATGATGTCTTTACAATTGGGAAAAGAAATTGCTAGCAGCTCTGTGGTAGGTTCCAAAACGGTCACAAATTCTTTCCATTCTGTGTGTGTGTCTCTTTGCAGTGTTACTTGGCCATTCCTTCTTTGAAGTGTGGAGTCTATTTGATAACCTTGAGTCTGGGCTTGGTCATGTGACTTGCTCTTGCCAGTGGAACATCAACAAATGTGATGTCAGCAGAGGCTTGAAGTGTCCTTGCACATGGTGGCCTCCCATCTTACATGGCTGGGAGTTTTCTGCTACTATCAGAATGAGCCTGGGATTAGACTCCCAAGACTGTCAAGACCACTGCTAGTTGAAACAGTGAGGCCAGATCAGACCATCTGACTGCAGCCAACCTAAACCAAACTACCCAGTGAAAGCCACAGAAATAGATGAAAAAAAAATAAAAGAAGAAGAAGAAGAAGAAGAAGAAGAAGGAGAAGAAGAAGAAGAAGGAGAAGAAGAAGAAGAAAAGATTATAGCTACATGTTTAGCTGAACTTCCCTCCTGTACACTTTTTCTCTAGTTATTTCTCAGGCAGTTCTAGGGGTGGTGGAACTGTTGGTGTCCAATTCATTTAACTGACGTGTCCTCAGGATTGATAGGCCCAAACTGCAAAAGTTGAGAGATGTGTCAATCCGTTGTCTGCCTTCGCAAGTTACAGGCAGAATTTCTGAACGTGGAGCAGAATCGCTAATCTTAGATTGTCTATTTTGAGTCATGACTTCCTACTACAAAGCAGCAGTTATGTGGTAGAAGAATTCTTGTCCCCAGAATGGTGACCCAAAAGATACACTGTAGTTACACAATTTAAAAAGTTAGGCCTTGGATTCACAAGGCATAAGGGGAAGCCATTGATTGAATAACTTTTTAAAAGACAAACGTGAGTGTTTTGTAACAGGTCTGAATAATGCATTTGTCTAATTCACTGCCTCCTACGTATCTATTTTCAATTTCCCCCAAATTCTCAAGGCCCTGCATATGAGCTGGTCTTGTTTTTAATGAAATTTGCCCTTGCAAGATTGTAATAATCAACAAGTAGAAAATAGGATATTTTGACAAAAGATGAAAGGTTCCTCTAGAAGCAACTAATTCTGATCAGGTTGATATACAAAAGGTTGTGGTTTCCAGATCTCTCATTGAAGAGAAAGTAGAGGAAGGTAAAGAGATGACACTTGGGGCTTGTCTCCGGCTGCCTTACTAATAAAAAAACACCATAAAACATTTCTCTCGTTTCTAAACATGTCTCTAAGTAAGATAACTTATAGAAAACAGAACCACAAAGGACTGGTTGTTTCCCGGACAAATTTCCATCTACAAGATTGGAGCGATGGAACTATCAGTTGCTTCAGGATATTTCTCATCTAGGATGAGATATCCCAGAAAGTAGAAAAGAGAGAGTCCTAGATAGAATTGATATCAAACGTGCACTCATAAATATATACATATTCATATCCAGTTAGGCAGCTAAAAAGTCAATAGTCCTATTGCTTCTGTAGTTGAATTAAAAATCTCCCATTTCCAGATGCAACGTATAGAAATACCATCAGATGCTCCTCACGATGGAGAGAAATGTGTATCTAGAACAGGGTCTCCAGGGGCGAAGAAGGCAGCTATAAGAGAAACTTACATCCATGAACCAAGCTTCTAGCGCTTCAGTATATTAAGGTTTAGACTTCCATTTTGCTCCCCAGAAAAGAGAGAAGCCTAGAAATGACTCCTTGTGTTACTAATAGTGGCAGATCATTTCGATTCCATGATTAAATGGATGGAGGTGCCTGAAAGCGGGCAAGGGGAGGGGCACGAAGGGGATTAAAGGATCAGGTGTACTGCTACTTTAAAATTATGCAGGCCTGGCCCCATCCAGGTCCCTCCCACTGCTTGAAGCACCTGCTGAAAGCTTGGGAAGCTCAGTTCCGGACGGGCCACCAAGCAGACTGCGCTCTGAGGCTCTGAGTTTCAGGTAACCAAGTGTTTGCTGTGCAGAATGCTCTCCTCGGGCACCCAGGTCTTCCTTGCTGCATTCCTGCTGCTGTGTCCTATTTGTTGAGAGTGACCCAGGGGTTACCGCAGCGTTGCCAGGCAACGAGGGACAGCGGTCCTGTGAAGAGCCATTTGTCACACTGAGGGGACTGGTTGAAATGCAATAAAGAAATGGTAATTCAGCTTATTTATCAGGACAATTACTTACGCAGTATTAGGGGTCCATATTTAACCTACAAATACATACTCATATGAGGAAACACGAACACAAACGTTTGCTAAATACTAAGGCATAGGACAGACAGATGGTGTTGGGTTTCTAATCAGCTTTACTGTGAGCTTAAAGTTGCTGCACATGCTGGGATGGGGGGGAAGGCCCAAAGTGCTTTGCCAGCTTTATTTCGGACAGCTGTAAGTTAGCTGTGGGCTACAACATAAGGTGTGTGTGGAAAGAAAATCTATGCAATTCTTTCCCTTGTTAAGTAGATAGCGCTAATTCCCTGGGGTAGAGTGGTAATCCGAAATGGCTGCTGGTGAAATATAGGCACAAAAATATATATGTATCCATGTATAGCTCTATTTATAAGACTGGTTGTCCTGTGGACTATTCCGGTATCTGATTTCTCCCCCAAATGAAGAGTTACCAAAGGAAGGAGTCTTTTCCTCTAGACAATGTACTTCCAAGTGTTTTTTCTTTGAGAATTTCAACAATGTTTTCTGTCGGGGGCTCAAGCCTGGGATGAACTTAAATTTTAACGACATAGCAGCTTTTCCTTGACACTTTGTTTTTGCTTCCCAGACACCAGCTGCTACTCATGCCTTCGCCATAGCCCAGAATGTCTCTGGTGTTACCTCGGTGTGAAAACGTGTATGTGGTTTCCTGAAAATGGAGTATCTCAACATCACTTAGAGCACCCTGCTTCAAAGTGTGGCTGGCGAGTGGCATTGACCTTATTTTTTACTTAGGAATGCTTTGCTAGGAGAAGCATGCTTTTTGGTGAACATGAATGGCTGGGCTCTTTCCCTGGGCTTTTGCTTCTTGACCCATGTCACCGAAACCTTGATCTTTATGTATTTCGCCACCGTCTCCTTGGCTGACTCGCGGGGTCTTTTCCCAAGGCTGGAGAATGTGGGAGCTTTCAAGAACGTGTCACTTGTGCCAACCCAAGCGACGTGTGGACTCCCAGACCGAAGCACTTTCTGTCACAGCTCTGCTGCTGCGGCTCTCGGGTTCTGTACCCAGCGGCTTTGCATTCAGGATTGCCCCTATAGATCTTCAACTCCCATCTACACGGCCCTCTTTTCCAAAGGCCTCAGGAGCTGCATCACAGCAGACGAGCGTGATCTGTGTCCCAACTGCCAGAGCGATTCCACAAGTTTTATTTTTGGAAGTCACAAGAATTGCTTTTCTTCTCCTCCTTCTCCGAGGCTGGCGGCGTCATTTACTTTAGCCGTGTGGCTGAAACCTGAGCGAGAGGGTGTAATGTAAGTAGTAGAGTGAGTGTAAGTTTTCCTAGGGTCCTGGACGATCTGTAGTAGTGATGATGATGGCCACATGGATTCTAAACTAGAAATGAAGGCTAACCCTGGAATTTGCGCTATTGAAGGTCAACTTCTTGGCTAGTCTTCCTCTTCAGGTTTCCTTTCCAGACTTTCTCCCCTAAATTTAGATTTTGTTCCTCTTTTTCATGGGTGAAGTGAGCCCTCAAAAAAGAATATGTTAAGACAGTTTCATTGCAGGCAGATCTGTTTCCCCGTCTCATTTATCTCCCAGCCACTGAGTCAATACTTTGGTCTTGGCCTTCAAAGGCTCAGCCAGGCTTAGTGTGAGTTTTAACATGTAGGGGCTAGTGGTACAAATGACTGCTGTTTTCTAAGTTCTGATCTAGGTTTTTATAAGCAACCCACTCCTGCCAGAGTGTAAAATTTTCATCAGGCAGAGAGCTCTCCGAGGGCTTAGGACTGTGTTTTATTCATCCTGATTTTCCCAGGAAGAGATGTTTGTTTGACTCATGGAAGATAACCCAATCGTATGAGTTGAATACGTGACTAATCCTCTAACTCTGAGAACATAACAGCTTTTGACCCTTTACCTTGTGGTGTTTTCTGATAGGATATATATATATATATATATATATATATATATATATGCATAAGAGAGTCCCAAAAGCATTTATGCCATTGATCATAGTAGAAATGCTTCTGGTGAGTGTGGACTGGGGGCTTCCTTCATATTATTTTTTGTTAGTCTGTATAATCACCTGTGTTTCATTCTGTAATAGCCTCTAAAACTGACCTCTCATGTGTTTTCCCTGTTTACAGCCAATCTGGAGATTTGAATAAGTAAGGAAATTTTGAGACCTTTTTTTTTTTTCTTTTTTTTTTTTTGCTTATCTTTTGTCTTCCTGTAGGGTTTTTGGCTCTTCCCCTTCTGACAGTTTCTTTGTTTGAGAGTGTTGGCCAAATATCTAAAAACTTGTGAAACAAACCAGAAAAGTCTTATGATCTCATAAGCAAATATGACTTAAATGTCTTTTTTGTTTAGTTTTAATTTGCCAAGTGAAAGTTGGCATTTTTTTTTCATTTGGAGTTAAAATGATCACAAACCATTATCTCTATTTCTGTATCTCCTATAAAAGCAAACCTTAGGTTTTTTGTTTATTTGTTTTGTTCTTTTACTGTTTGAAATGTCAGTAAATCCAACCCACTCAGTTTATGTAAAGGGTCCAAAGAGACTTAAAAATTGTCTGTTGACAAATATGGCTAGGGAAAATTATGTTTTCCCCAAGTTTTTTTTTTTTTTTTTTTCCCATGGTATGAATCTCTACCAAATTCTTCTTCTATTGGTTTCATTTTGTATAAACAAGACAGGGGTATTGATAGAGGCAGTGGCACATGGTTTACGGTCTAAAGAGTTCCATGCATCAAGGTCGTTTCCATTCTCAAAACTAAAATAACTGTGGGAATTGGGGGAATTTCGGGGTGTTTGCACTAGATAAGTAAAACAAACAAAGCATGGATTATCCAATTATTGTTTATCCAGGAGCAGAATAAATCCAGTTCCTAAATATTTTGCTACCTGCCTTCCTCTCACATTCATTATCTACCAAAGCTAGTATGTTTACAAGCAAACAAAATAGCAAGGAAGATAATCAATAACATATTAAGAAATGCATTTTCAGTAAGCTTGGGAAAATAAGCCTGCATTTGGCAAATATATTCTTGAGTAATGGTCAAATTTTAACTTGTTGATTTAAAACTCAAGAAAAATGAGTAGAGGCAAACTCTTCTTAGGTTGTTTGAGACCTGGACACCTGGAGGCAGAGGGTCAAGGGACAGCAATTTCATCCCAGGGATTTAGAAATATCAACCCACCAGAGGGTTAAAAGAAAAATAAAATCACAGGAGAATTTCTATAAAGTTGAACCTGTTTGCCTGTGTTAAAAATATCCTTGTTGTCATAACTTTATCACCAAAAAATATACAAAATATAGGAAAACAGTAAAATAGTAACTATTAAGTGGTCTCCGATCTTATTTTCACCTCTCAACTCCAGGAAAGAATACATGCAAGTGAGAAGGAATAAATTGTGGAAAATGTGACCTTTAAGGAAAGTTTTAAAACCTCCTTAGCAATAGTTCTTGGTTGGCCCTATCTTACCTTTGTTTCTTTGATGATTCCTCTTCTCGATTTGATCTTCGAAGCCTTGGTGTTTGGGTCTGCTGTATACCTGGTTCTGCTGTGCTCAGAAAACTCATGAGCTGATGGGGAAAGACAGATCGATTGGTACCATGACTAAGGCAGCACAGTGTGTTAACTGAACACCAACGAAGGCCGCTCAAGCTACCCTGAACCAGAGAAAAGGGTTCCAGGATCAGGCATGGCCCTGGATATGCCTGAGCTGAGTAGCAGGCAGCTGGTGAAGAAAAGGACCCAGACCCCTCCATGACCTGGTGAAGTTCTCCTCCCTGCTGAGTTCTTGTCTGTGACATGCAGGTTGATGGGTATCTTTAAGAGCTAGTTATTTGGGGAGATGTTAATAGCTAATGTCAATGATACTTGTCTTTAAATAGCAGATCTTTGGGAGTAATCCACTCAGGAGGCTACTAGCAAGCATTCATCATGTTCTCTCTTCTGCTAAGAAGTTGACTCTCTAGATTGAAATGTGAGAGAGAGGAATGAGGCTTCGCTTCATGGCTGTTTCTGCTCAGGGGGCACAGAGTGGCCCGAAACATGCAATCATACACTCAACATAAGATCATTTATATGAAACATAAATTAACGTAGAAAATAAACATTTATAAAAACACCATTTGTCTATTTACAGGGATGGGAAAAGTGTGCCACTATGATGAGGAGAGAATAGATTTAAAAAAAAATAACTGGGTAATTGGCCTGATGTAAGACCTAGAAAATTTCTGAACGTTCTTCTGTTTTATCAAAATATTATTTCACTGTTGTCTTTAGAAGATTGTATGACCTTTCATCCAAGATCATTAATGTCCTGTCAGTGCCTCATTTGGGCTGTGTGGCCATGGAGAGCTCTTACAGACACTGGCTTTGGCTTCTGGCCAGTTGATGAGGAAGTAAGTAGAGTCTGCGTGCAGTTGTCCATTCTCCATTTCATCATGGGAGTTCAATAGAGCAATTCTGACTTCAGGGCTAGCACTTTTGAGTCTTCTATGGACAGTAAATTCTCTTTACATTAAAAAATTTTTTTTTTTTTGCACGGATGACTCAATCCCCAAGCAGGACATCGTGTCTTGTACCTCTTCCTATAAAGGAAATAGCAGAAGACTAATGAGCCAACAGGCTAAATGTTGGTTTTGCCCGATGATTCAAGCACTTTCGTTTTCATCATGAATCTCATAAAAGGTGTTGAGGTTCTGGGGAGTATATTGTAAATAAGAATTCCTATTTTTTTTTTTAATTAAAGGGCTTCTTAATTGGAGTATAAGAGTATAACTTGCTCTGAATATAATGGCATTCAGACACTCATTCACTGGGTGCCCCTTTGAGGGGAGTTTGGGGTAATTTTCACACCACTGTAACTGCACAATGCCTTAGCATGTCTTTTGGTTGGATGCTGATCTTTTCTCTCTCTTGGTTGCTTCCTAAGGTGTGTTATAGAAAAGACAGCGGATGGGCAGATTGTGTTCAAACTTACAATATCCGAGAAAGAGACCATGTTTTATTATCGCACAGTAAATGGTTTGCAGCCTCCAATAAAAGTAATGACACTGGGGAGAATTCTTGTGAAGAAATGGATTCATCTTAGTGTGCAGGTGAGTAAAATAAAAAATATTTAACATTTGGTTAAACACAAGGATCTGTCTTCCTTTCTTTCCTTTAAATGGCATCTTCCCACAAGGTCTGGAGCTGTTCTTTTTGATTTCATTTATGTGTAAATGACAACTAAAGAAAAATAACATTTAAATGACCTGGTGATGTACCTCTTGATATTCCAGCATCCCCCCCTCAAAATTGCTGTGAAAACTCCCACCAGAACTCGGGACAATGCTCTTTGGGATAATAAGATCCTTAGGAAATTTTTGTTTAATTTGGTTAGTATATTATGTTAAAAAATGTGGCGGGCTTTTTCAGGGACTGGTACTGATTTTACTAGTTATGGCAGCATTAAAGCCCCCACCTGGTTTTTACAGCTGTCTCTTGCAGATTGCGACTGATGATGTGAATAAAATTTGGCTGTTGCATTAAAATGCTGACCTTAGAACTAATGAACTTTACACTTCAGATGCTCAAAAAGTATTATATGATTACTTTAGTTGTCAGCCACAGTTTGTTTTAGCCTTAGAAGCTGTTAAAGGCTGAGATAACTGTGAGAATCTGGTATTTTACAGTTCCTGGGAATGGAGATTGAGTTTATCCTTTCTTCTTTTCAGGGTCCTAGAATGACCCAATGCAGCCAAAAGTCCCCACACGTGGGTTTCACACCAGAGGTCCAGTGTACAGCAGTCCCCAACCCATAAGCTCATAGGGGTGGCTGAAGAGTGGTTCATGCAAACCCCATTCACACTAAAGGACAGTTGTGCCCTCATTCTTATTATGGCAGTAATCGTTGATGTCTCACATTGTTCTTGCAACCTGAAGCAGATTGGAAGTAGACTTCCTTCAAGGGCCTTGAGAATTGTTATCTAGGTTTTAAAGTTTATTTTAGCACAGATATCATTCTTGAGGATTTCAATACACTTCGTACATATCCTTGTTTTGCCTGATTGTAACTGAAATTCCACCGCGTCTTGGCATGGTAGTACATTAAAAGCCTTAGAGAGAAAATTTGAAATATGAGTGCAGAGAGGTAACAATGATTGATTTCTATAGGAAGGTATTGACAGAAGAATATCTGATCAGTGTGTTTTGCCTTATCTACTCAGCTTTTACTTAGGATTTGAGTTTATCAAATGCAGTTGACAGTAAGTGGTATTTCCATAGCACTAGGTTTGAAAGGAGGTTAAGTCATGCCTGGTGTTAAGGCCATGGTTAGCACACGATGGATTCAATCTGGTTGAGCTTACCTCTTATTTCCCAGTAGTTGTAGATAGGGGACTCATATGTTCTGTATCTTGACATTGTCCATCACACCCACTGACAAGTGCGGCCCAATTAGGTTATAATGTTAAAAAATATGGAAATAGAAACTGTTGAGGAAAGGGAATCAGCAGAAGATATCATATAGATAATGTTTGTTGCATATTTTTGCATCAACAATGATAAAAAATGTTTTTTACTTCTCTTTATTTTGCCTTATCTGTGAAACTGTGCCATGTTTTGGCAGGCAGTAGTACATTAAAAGCTTTACAAAAGAAAGTTTAAAATCCAAATGTGAAAAGGTAACCATGACTGAATTACTCTCCTGGGAGTAAAATGCTCTTAGAGTGCCTATTGAAATCAGCATTATCATTTCAATACATGTCAAATATGAGTCATTTCCTAGTTTAGGCAAAAATTTCTTTATAAATCTTTAAATCTTTCCCTTCTTTCAAGGAAAGGTTAAAGTACTTATGATTTAATGAGGCTGCTTTATTTCATATCTGTTGGACTATCAAGAGAAAGCTTGTCCTTTCCAATCTGTGTACTACTTTTTAAAATTTATTTTTACCCAAGTTTTCCCCCATTCTACATTGTAAGTTAAAACGACAGAACAGTCCTAAAACATTAGGACTACGATACAGATCAGTCATTTGTTCGCCTGGCATTTCTTGGTGCATTTGGGGACAACCCAGTGTTATGAGAATCTGGATTCATTCAAAGGAAAATTAGTGATTATTTATTCTCAATTGGAGATCTGCCTAGGGTTCCTTTAAATTGGACACCAGTCTGAACACATTGAAGATACTATGAAATTTATAATAATTCATTTTATAGATGTTTTAAAAGGAATGTGCTCTTTCTTTAAAGGTTGCTATAAAGTAGTGGGGAGGACAAGAGATCAGATGTAGGGATAATTTATTCAGGTAATTCTTCTCTGTAGTCTTAACAAAACCATTTGACTTAGTTTCCTTCCTTCCTTCCTTCCTTCCTTCCTTCCTTCCTTCCTTCCTTCCTTCTGTAAAAAGAGGTTTGGATTAGGTGACAAAAGGAGGCCTCCTTGAATTCCTTCTGAATTCACATAAAAAAGTAAGTGGAGTGTGGGGGGGAGGCACAGTTGAAGTTTAGAAATCACTTGAGTTTTGTAGGGTTGTCTAGATGTGAGTGATGGAGCCAGCTCCGTGAGCTGACCATTAGGTTTGTGCATTTTCCTGCTTCCCCACACTGTCTGGTGTTCATAGAGAAATATTTTTTTGGCAGATTTTTATGGCCATGATGGGGACAAGTGCAACTTGTAATTCTTTCACAGTATAACTGCAAAGAATATATTTTTATATTAAAGGAACTTACTGTTGCATTGTTATATCATACATCCAAATTCTGTTTGATTTGGGGATTAGAGACTTCCATCATGCTGGGCATGGGATAGAACACATAACTGATCATCTGGTTTAGTCTCATTTCAAATTGCAAGCCTAATTAATGTGTATGCATATTTTTACTCACCTTCTAATATGATCACAAATGAATGAATTTATATGGAGTGTGCATGTGTGTGTGTGTATGCATATATGTGTAAAAATAAAACATATACCTTTACTCATAAAATTGGCTCAGAAACCAGAATTTAACTTACAAAGGGCCAGTAACATAAAATTAATTAACAGATCTGACCTTACCCCTTACCTCAGACAGTTCACTCCATACCAGCTTTCTGTCAGTAAAATCAGAATTTTCATTTCCCAAATTCCAAAAAAAGAAATGAGTTTTAAATAATTAAATCCCTGAGCAAAAAAGATGCCAAGAAGAGTCAGACATACGGAACACTGAAGGTCTAGTTTCTTAAACAAAAGATGCCCGATGTTATAGTAATGGATCTAACAGCTTTTATTCAAGAAGTAGCATTTTGAAGCTTCAACCTGTTGGAAAATGATTAGTTTTTAAATTAATATTCATTCAGGGACTTGAATCTGACACGATTGCCAATTTAAATTTCACTTTGGGGTTTCATATATTGGCTATTTCAAATTACATCAAGCTGAAATTCGTTATGTCATATTTTTTATACTAAAACTGGAAAAAATCAATTCAGACTTTTTATTATCAAATGGGGAACACTGATACCATTAGCAGATTTTTTTAAAGCTTGGTTTTCATATCAAATCAGCATGTGGTTTTTAGTTGTTGTAAGAGATCTCTTTTGATTTTTTTTTCCTTAAAAAAGTTTAAATACATAAAAGAGTTTTACTTTAGCGGTTTGTTATGGGTTAGGAGATAGAATGACAAGGAAGCTTTTTCACATTTAGCTGCCTGTCATTTACAAGTCAAAGCTCAGACTTTCTTATGGAACAACTGGTTTCCCTTAAGGAGTTGTACACATTTTATAGGACAAAGAGCAGGTAAGAATCATTAGTATAGTAACCCTTGTAGTAATTATGCTAAAGTATGCTAAAACAATTTATAATTTGCAACTGATGAAGTAGTACAACCATGCAAGCAAGACATGGTTCAGCAGTGGGCTTGCATGCTTTTTCTATAATCTTTCAAAGGCTCCTGGATACAATGACAGTTCAAGAGCCAAAGACGGTTCTAGCCACGGTGAGGTAAAAAAGAGCAGTTCTAATCTAATACAATGAAGGAAAGAATGCATGGTAAATCAAGTTTTAGGAATCAATAGGTGAAGAATAGGGGTTTTATAATCACAGTTTGTTCATGAAAAATGTTCTTTTGATTTATGTATTCAATCTGAAAAAGGAAAACTATTGATAGTTCTGGAGCAAAAGAAAATGCAATTTAGCCAACACTTGCTGGAATAGATAAACCAAGTCTCTCAATTAATCTCTGGGGTATGTGCCCGTGTGTGTACTTTATAAAAGTATTCCGTATCTCTGTTGATTGAAGGAACATAGAATGGCCATGCAAGCTTATGGAAGTTTCCTCCTTCCGTCCAAAAAGCTCTGCGCGCTGGGATTTTCACCGGGACACCACCTCAATCCTCACTCCAGGAGAACCCTAGTCCATATTGTTTAATACTTACCATTGCTTTAAACTGTAACTATTGATATGTGGGGGTGCGAGGGTCAAACATTGCTATTTGTGCAAAGCCTTCTGTTTGTCTCCAGCCGCTGAATGTCTCCTGAATTAGCTGACTAGGTTTAGTCATCAAAAAGTAATTAAATATCAATAGAATTTATCAAATTATATTTCAGAATTAGTTAAAAATGCTGATAATAGTAGCTGCCGTTACTGAGCTCTGATTATGCAGACTGTATTAAACACAGTATATGTTTAAATTTCAAATGCTTATAATAGTTCTGTGTCATTGGCTTATCTCCATTTCACAGATGAGGAAAATGAGCCTTAGGTAGGTTAGGTCAGATTTACAGCCTAGATTTATAGTCTCCAGTTTTTCTGACCTTTACCAAATAATAATAATAATAATAATAATAATAATAAATTGCCATGGACCTAGGTCACTATGATGATCTGAGGAATAAAGTTATTTGAATCCACTTACCCCAAAAAACAAGAACTGAAGACATAGCTATAAAGTAAATATAAATTATTTTTCTGTTTGTAAATTTTTTAATGTAAGTATTTGTAATGCTTCCCATATTGGCATGATTTGTACAAATAACTAAAATCAGTGTATTTTACAATTATCTCCTCATTGAGACAAATGGTTTAAATGCACAACAGCATGGAATTTTATATAAAGTTCTGCTCAGTATATCTC